TATTTGTGTATTTCATTGTAGCACTGTATTGTTGTAAATTCTTCCTCTGGATTAAATAATTATTTTTTATGTTTTTAAAACAAATTCTTCTAATTTTTTTTTAAACCACAGCTTGCTAATAACCATCAGTTTTGGTTTGAAAGCAGAAGTAGAAATTAAACACACCAACACTATCTGCTTGTGCTTCTATCTAGCACAGAAATCCAATTACAGCCTACTATCATTGTGTACTGTATATAAGCAGTAGCATAACTTCCTGTTTAAGCAGAGTATTGAATGTGGTGCTGTTACTCAACCACCAAATTGCATTCCACTTAAACAGGTTTCTTACAGTCAAGCGGTGGAAGTGCAAAGGTGACACCAATGTATAGTTAAGCCCTCAGACTGACTGGGCTTCTGATGGATGAGAGCTTTACCAACATAAAAACACAATACTTGTTCAGTTGGTTACACAGTGCAGGGTGGAGCCAGAGCTGCTCTTTTTAATACACAAACACATGAGAGACAAAAAAAATCAAGCTCTTAGCAGAGGTGAGAGCAACAGCAGGTTCAGGATATAAAAAAAAAAAAGTAAAGAAGAAGCTGGAAGGACGCTGCATGCAGGCTCGGTAACATCTCAAAGTGGATAGCCAATCTGCTTGTTAAGTGGAGACCTACCGATCCTGTTTCTGGGCCCAAACATCTGCTACTGCTTTGGATGAGCCTCTAGTCTTTTTAAAAAACACGCTGCAATACTCTGTCTCTCTTTTTACTGAAAAGAAGCCCCTTAAAACTACTCAGTCACCATTCGCAGCATCGCCAGCTTTTTATCAGCACCATTCATACGCGGCATGTCCTTAGGTTTTTAAAAACTCAGAGCATGTACTACAGTTCATGGTTTCCGTGACTGCTGTGGATGGGTTCATCACAGATATTGCTTTGGTGGAGCTTTGGTTTTCAGAGTCTCTTTGAACATCACGGACCACAACATGGGCTTTTCAGGAGAACAGTTTAACTCCCATCCTTTATCTTTATTAGCCGAACCATAGCCATAGCCTGTACTTAGTAACCAGGTAACACATCCTCTTGTCAACTTCTTCAAAGTTTTCCAACCTAGTTTAAATCCAAACTTAAAGCAGTGCTCATATTTTTTCTTAAATTACTTTGAGATGTCTAGCAGCAAGCTATATTTACTGCCAACTCCTCTAAACCTTAGAAATCCCCTTTTTCATGAGTATTGACTTAAATATCTTGTAGGACATTCATATTAATCATTTCTGTCACTGAAAGAATTTGGAGTCTTTAATTTTCTGCACTGACGTGGTGCAGAAAATTAAAGACTCCAAATTCTTTCAGTCTTTAAGTGAAAAAGTGTTTGGGTCTGGAAATGGCTAACGACATCAAACTTACATAATAGATATCGCCACGCTGGAAAAATACCAGCCGTTATCAATGATAATTCCTCTTTTTCCTTTGTTCCATGTCGTAGCTTGTTTAGGCAGCGCTGGCATTTTCCATTAGATGTTAAATCAGCCAATAATTGAATGAGGAGTTGGGAAACTGCCCGAGCAAGCTAGCTTGCTACCGTACTTTATTGCGTAGAAACCTTACTCCTTTGTTTGAATCCATACAACAAGGTTAAATGAATCTGGATGGTATAAAGCAGTTAATTAGCTATACTTGATTCCTCACCTTTAGACTAGCTGTCTCTGAGAGACTTTGACAATATCCCCTTTTTTTTGTTACAGATCATTCACTATGTAATGTAATTATTTATTACATTTACAATGTAATAAATAATTTGAAATGAACAGTTTATGAATTAGTGAGCCTTCGAGGTACATTTTGTTTCATTTTAGACACAGTCTAGAGACAGTCCTGTGAAAAACTAAACACACCACATGATTAATTTGACAATAACACGATAGCTTTATTTTGCGGGGAATTGTAGCTCATCCCATCTTACAAAATTGCTTTAATTCATTGAGATTTGCAGGCATTCAGTTACACACAGCTCTGAAGTATTATCCACAGCATTTCAATCAGATGGACCGTTTTAGATTTGTTGCTGTGCTTGGGGATCATTTTCCTGTTGCATGACCCAGTTTGGGCCAAGCTTTAGCTCTGGACAGATGACCTCTCATTTGACTCCAGAATACTTAGTACACACTATACTTTTGTATACTGAGGGATACATGGTTGACTCTGTGACTACAGGGAACCCAAATCATCACCCCTCCACCTCCATGCTTGACAGTTGGCATGTGGTGTGCATTATGTCCAAATATTGCCACTGTGGTCTCATCTGTCCAAAGAACCTTGTTCCAGAAATTTTGTAGTTGGTTCAGATGCAATTTTGCAAACCTAAGGTGTGCTGCCATGTTCCTTATCCTTTCCAAACAAGCCATACTTGTTCAGTCTTTTTCTAACTGTCATGAACTTCAACCTTTAAAATGCTAACTGAGGGCTGTGCAGTCTGAGTCGGACCTCTTGGGTATTTTGCAATTTCTCTCAGCATTACAATCTGACCTTGACACACCTGAATGCTCCAGACCAGGAAGTTACCAAAGCTTCCACTTTTATAGAGTTGGCCAAACTAATTGATGTTAAGTTAATCATGATTAGCAGCAACTGGTTGCCATTTACCTCATTAATTTCTATACAAGGGCTGAGGGTGTACTTTGTTTTTTACCAAGAGTGTAGCCATCTCCCACACATTTCCACTCTGAGCTAACCGCGCAGTAATATCACAGTTACAAACTAAGCATGTGGCTAAAAGGTGCATAAGTGCACTTCCCAAACACATTAAACTACTCCTTTAAATTGTGTTGTTCTTTAAAACCAGCAAAAGGCAAAGGGTGCCAAATTTAACAACTTAAACTATCAGCTCAGCCCACATCATTTCCTGTTTCATCTGGGTTTTGTCTTGTTTTTTTCTTCTTTTTTTTTAAACTGTACAAGTAGCAAATGTTACTTACTGCCAGTTCTGATTTGGCCGAGCCTTCAGACCAGGGTAAAGCCTATTTAAGCAAATAGAAAAGAGAAAGGTAACCTCAAGGATCCAAAAGCTCTGTCGCCAAATGCAAAATGTCTCTAGAAGTTACCCAAAAAACACACAGTTAACCTGCTGACCTTCCAAAATGTTAAATGTCATAGTAATAAGTGAAAAAGGAGGCATTGCCCTTTTATTTTCCTGTCTCTTAGTTCTCCATTTCTATGTAACCGAGCTGAAAGTCAGCCGTCCTGCTGAATCAACCCAGTGAGCAGCCAGTGAAATTCCCTTTACCTGCACTGTCTGCATCTAAGGCTTTTTCAATGTAAAGCTCAGCTGACGAGTCACTTCACTAAACAGAAGACAGGGTTTATGTTGTGCTGTCCGTAGCATTGTGTGCAGATGAGTTAAAACTGCCTATTAAATAGCATGGCTTCTAGGAAAACATTTAAAAAAGGGGATTTACTGAAGAGCTTATTCAGACTAACACGGTGCTTTTGAACCATCGATTGCTTTAAGAACACATTAGAGATGCTATTTCATTGAGAACATTGCTTGAACAAGTGCCAGCAATGACTTTTAGGAGACATTTCCATCACTCATACTGACACAGTAAGCACAACCCGGTAATTGGCTGCAAATTTCATGTTAAAAAAAAAAAAAGAAAAAAAAGGTAGGAGTTATAAAGTTTCTGGACACATCTGATCGACTCCCGCTCATTCAAACTTCCCCCCAGTGGCTGCAGTAGCTCAAACATGACAATGAACTGCTCAAGAAGCCTTGAAACTGCACGCTCGGCTGATTGGAGTGTCCTGTTAGCCCTAATAACATCAAACAACCTGAATCTAAACAGAGCTGTGTCGCTGCAGCTATAATAGTTTTATGGCTCCAGAGCCCAAGGTGCAGTGTGGAGGCTATTCTAATCCATTAACTCACACCATGGGCAATTACCTCCCCATCATGTACAGCAGTTCTCTGAAGCAGATGGCCAGCAGCACACTTTCCAAGATTCATAGTTCCTCGCATGAGATGGGGACCAATGTGTTTTAATGACCTTTGGAGCCAAAGATTTGACTAAGTACAACCATTATCTGGCTGCTGTTGTAATGGTTTAGGCACTTATGATCAATAATGCCTTCAAAAAACATCTGCTTCAACCACATTACATTAACTACAATGTTAGGGATATCTAACTGATGTTGAGTTACAGCTCAGAGTCTTTTAAAAAAGCCCCTCTCATTGAGATCGGTATGGAATTAATGGGCAGAATCAATAAAAGATAATGGGTTCCTACAGCTGTTGTAAATTCCAATATGTGGAGTTGACACTGGAGGAAGTCGGTCTGGAATATATTATTGTCACCGACTCAACAGGATCAGCCCACTGGCTGAGGCTCCAGATGTTCTGAGTATTGATGGGTCCCAGCACATTCCGCTGTCTCCCATATGCCAGACTTCGTTTAGGAACCTTTAAATTAAATGTATTCTAACCCATTAGCAATATGCAAGACTCTTACATTCTGCAGCCAATCATTACAGCCGAGACTCCATATCAGCTGGACACTTAAAACTTTGGCAACTTAAAGTTTTAAAGTGTTCCTCAGTGGCAGCTGATTACACGGATGAAATCATGTCCACAAGTTGTTTTTTTCTAAAGAAAACGCAGTGATTGGAATATGGCTTTAATGCCGAATATCAACTACCTTCCATGCTAAGTATAAAACACAACTTAATCACAATGGTGACCGTTCAAATCGCTAATAACCGATGTTTGTTTTTAAACCTGAACTTTTGTAAGCGGAGTTTGGTGTAGCGTTCTCCAAACAAGGCATCGAGGGGAATTCACGCGTTGATAAGGAATCACGAGTGCTCTGGAGATCTTTAAAATCCTCCTTAAAGGCTTTTCTGCTGTGAAGGGCTTTGGGAGACTGCGCTTGAGGACGAACAATAGTTTTGTTTCTGCGTTAAGTATTCATAAAAGGTGCGATTAAAAAGTAACAAGCAGGCAGCCAAAACGCCGCTCAACGTACCTCTGGATCCGCCGCTGGCGTCCCTCTGCGACAGACTGCCGACAGTATTCCCCAATTAAATCAAATGTTAGCTGATAAAACTCGTCCTGCGTGTCCTCGGTCCTTCAAAAAGTTGCCCAAATTACATCCTGGTGTTGGGAAGAGGGAGGAAAAGAGTGCCGACCGGAGCGCAGCGCACGTCTGCCCGAGCCGCTGCGGGGAAGTTTAGTTTAACAACATTCCCACGGCAAACAAGTGGACACGCTGCCTTCTATGTGCTTTACACGCCCAGGAATTGCACACCCGGCTCAGGTGTGATTCATATGGCAAGCCAACACGCACTCAGACACGCGCGCCCGCTCACACGCGTATACTTCCAGCTTTTAAAGGAAGGAGCGCGTGCTTTCCGTATCCAGAGCCGACGCGAGCTGCACACATCCAGCAGGATCTACTGCCACGAGCTCCACTGGAAACGGCGCGAGATGCAACAAAACTGAGGAATATCAGGGTGAAGGCTTTTCCTCCTCCTCCTCCTAACACTAACCCCCAATGCCTGTTGGCGTATATGCTCCGTCAGGTTTGCAGCATCAAACACAAAAAGCATGCACAAGCTTCCTTTCAAAATAAAAGCTTATAGAAGGTTTAACCTTAAAAATCTTATGTGCAAGAATTTCCTTGTTCAGGATAGATAGGAGACGAGTCAAATGCACAAAAATAAGAGTGAAAAGCAAACTTCAAAGCTAAGGAAACTTACATCAAAGTTAGTCATTGTAAAACAAGGTCAGTAACGATGAGGGGAAATATCTGGTCACTTAAAATGACCATAAAATCTTGAGAGACACCAGCTCTCTGAAATGTATTTGATTTTGCAGCTGATTCAGACAAATTCGAACCTCCTTTATTCTACATTCAGTACAGACTTTAGGGACCAATAGAAAGAATAAGTCCTATAAGTAAACCAAAGAAAATGGGATAAGACCAAAAATACATAATTAATAAAGGCTGCTGGGTTTACGAAACAACATAGCAGACCATCCAACCTGAGCAGGCAATGACATGCGATGGTTGGTAAGAAGATTAGGACCTACGGTTACTTTCAGTGCTGCATTACAGCGTCTAGAGTGTCTAAGCACTGCAAAGTCATGTGCATATAAATAACATTACCGTTAGAGTGGCATGTAAGTGGAGACAACAAATTTCTTCTTTTGCCTCAAAGGAAAGGCAGGTTTTTATTCTAAAACACTGAAAACAAGAAAACCAAGGGAGACATTAGAAAAGATTTAAGATCAATAAGGTAACATTTCTAGAAAGCTTGAGGAAATATCTGGGCACATTTGACAGCAGGAAGCTGAAGCTCCATGTAAGACGCTGTAAATTTTAGTTATGAAGCAGCTTTACATTGCAACCCCATCATATAAGGCTTATGTGATTTACTCATGAAAATGGCCACTTTCTCATTACTTTCATATATTGTTTTAGTAAGTATCCAAAACATACACGTTTCATTTAAATAATTTTTCAAGGGATCTTATATCTGTTTTCACTCTTGTATGCTTTTCATACAAGTTTCACACAAGACAGATACAAACGTCACAAGATTTATATATATCTTTTCCATATGGGAACAGTCAGGTGCTTTGGCACTTGGCAACAGTAAGAAAGAAGAACTCCCTAAAGAAACAAGAATGAGTCTTATGAGTCTTTTCTATATCTCTGCATGCATTTGAGGCTTTTCAAATTCTAATTCTGAGCTCTAAACACTTAAAACATCAACTGTTTCCTTTCCATGTCTAACTGAACTTTCTTCAGACAAAGCAGCAGAGAAGGAGCAGAGAGCCTTTGTATGTGATTAAAACAGCATGCATCATTTCCTGCAGCAGCTGCTCCGTGCATGTGTTAATGTGCAGAAGGTATACAAAGTGTACAAATTAGCACATTAATGGCACCTTGGTGCATTGTAATTATTGTCCTCGCAATTACTTAATGTTTAGCAATGATTTGTGTTTCAACAGAGATTATTTTCTGTTAATTAAAAGTAAATACAAGCTTAAAATAAACGATAAGAACCTACTTATTCTTTTAACCCATAAAACAAGTTCCCTAAAGGGGTTTTATTTTGAAAATCCCACCCGGAAAAGATGTGCTTCATTGTCACCAAATTGCCGCCTTCGCAGTAAACTCAGTCCCAAATAAATAAATAGATTGATAAATAGAAAACAAATAGAAGGCAATTAAAGATAGTCAAAACCCCTCCTTTAAATTTGGTGCGATTTAAGAGAAATGATGAGCAGCACAGAAAACTCATTGAAATCAAGAAACAAGCCAACAGGCAGCAAGCAGAAGCTCCCAAAGGTGATGTTAGCCATGCTTTAGATTAAAGTTTAGTTATAAACATATTATGAACATGTTAATTTTTATTTATCATCATCTATTTAAACTCCTCAGAGACACTGATTTCATTTCTTTTTCCTGTTTTCTACAGATGCTTCAAAGCCTGGGAGTGTGGTGGTGCTGCCTGTCAAGCCCTGTTAAGTGTGCGGTTGCTCCCGCTGTTAATTTGAGAGCTTGGTGGGCCACAATGGAGGCTTTGTTGTTGGAGAATTTGTCTAAGAAGTAATCCTTGACATTGGGCCATTCAGAGGCCTAACCTTTTGTTTCATAAGTCTCCTGAATGTTACAGTAGGCATCAGTGCTTTAGGATAACTTGGAGTGGTGGGAATTATTTTGTGTTGAGTTGAATAAGCTGCCAGTGAAAATGTATGTATGTGGGAAAGGTCAAGGGTCATGGGTGTAGAGTTCTCGTATATTTTAGGGCTATAACTTATAGTTTAAAGTTTGTGTCTGTTTGCTAGATACCATATCTTGTTTTTCTAAGAGTGAACACATATCAGGTACTATCGTGGTTTAAAAAAAATGAAAATGACAAAAACGCCACTTATTAGTTTGTGAAGTTCCAAAGCTTTGTGTTGAACTTTTTACTGTCACCATCTTGGCTTTGTGCAGATGTCACGTGTGGGCTGATGATGTGACCCTGACTTGTTGATCACTAGGTAGCCAACCTCTATGGCATAACATGTTTTGTTGTTTTTTAATGTAAATTGGACCATAAGTTCTTAAATGAACAGCGTGATGTAAATGGAAAGACATCAAGCTAAATATTTATAAACAGTGTAACAGTGTAGCAGCAGTGTAACAAAACTGCATACTGCATCTGAAAACATACATGGAAATTCAGGACATAAGGCAGAAACAGAGTTTAAGCATTTCTAACAAGCTTGAAATATTTGGAATGAGCACTTTAACCAAAGTTTAACATATCCTGAATTGTCTGAGTCAGCTGTCTGTAATTTCTTTAAGTATCTTCAGGAATAGTTCTTCAGCATTCTCAAAGATAGAGTCAGAGCTCTTCTGTTAGTTTTTCTGTCACCCACCACCATCACCACCAACACCACCACCCCACACCCCCCACTGCTTCAAGGACAGGGCTCTGAGGAGGCCAGTCCATGACTGACAGTGTTTGATGGTGTTTCATGATGTGTTTGTCTATCCAGGGATGATTTAATTGCACTGGCAGTGTGTTTGGGGTCACTGATGTACTGAAAAATGGAGCATTATCAAACAAATCTTTTCCAGATGGTATTGCATGGGGAATGAAAAAATCTAGTATTTTTCACCATGTTTTACATATGGCTGCAGATACTCACTACAGGAGAGAGTTGTAGCTCCAAGCACTTGACACTGAAGGGCCAGATCCATCTCTGACGTCCTATATGAGGTATTTGTTGTATTTTCTCCTATGTATTCGGGCATATGTCACAGACTTTGAGTTGGCCGATAAAGGTTTGTTTTTTTGTTGCTTAAACATGTCTACTAGTCCTGCGTTTGGGTCCTCACTTCTGAACAGTCACTTCTGGCTCCAAAAATGAACAAGGCGGTAGCCAAAATTGAGGCTTCAAAACCAACGTGCAACTTCACAGTGGGTATGTCCATCCTAACAGACTGTCTGCCCCCTTGGGGATAAATAAAGTTATCAGAATCAGAATGGTAAATGGTAAATGGCCTGTATTTATATAGCGCTTTACTAGTCCCTAAGGACCCCAAAGCGCTTTACATATCCAGTCATCCACCCATTCACACACACATTCACACACTGGTGATGGCAAGCTACATTGTAGCCACAGCCACCCTGGGGCACACTGACATCTATGGAAGCTATCATTCTTTCTTATAATCTGTGGTATTACTCAAGAATTATAACTTTAGTGAGCTCTTGCAGCGCTCCTATAGAATCATTGGAGATGTAATTATGATTGATGCCTCAGCAGAAATCACTGACATTGACATAAATAACAGCCTAAATCACTAGCTGTCTGACAAACTTTTGAGATGACTGGTCAATTATCAGTTTGGCATTTGAAGTGTCTGATCATACGCATCGCTAACAGTGTTTCTGGGCTGCAAGGCTGACTGGTTGACTAACTGAGCTGTTAAATGTAGTGTTGGAATGACAACCAAGCTCTGTGTGTGTGTTTACACTGTCTCCTCAAACAAAGCCCATGTAAATACGGACACACAGTCTTGCGTACACATGCTTTCATGTGTTTCACAGACACCCTAAAGCTTGTCAATACACTTTACTTAGACTTGGGTCAGCACATAGAGACAAACACAATCATACGCACCGCCTGCCACATTATTCCTTGTGGCTTGTTTGCTGTCTCTGGTCATGCTCTGACTCATCCACTCAGTCACCAGACAAGAGCATTTCATATTAGAAAACTCTGCAAAACCCCGTATTTCAGTCAGTGATAGCACTAAGTATATCTCTGCACTGCAAATAAATCATGAGTAAAATAATGGTAGGAAATATAGTCTGGCCTTTGGCCTTTAATGTAGACAGCATTAAAGATTGCACAGGACATATTTATTCAATTTGACAATATACAGGGTGGGCCATTTATATGGATACACCGTAATAACATGGGAATGGTTGGTGATATTAAAGTCCTGTTTGTGGCACATTAGTATATGTGAGGGGCAAACTCACATAGAACTTTTGTTTTTTCAATAGGAAGAGGGCCATGTGACACATCAAACTTATTGGTAATGTCACAAGAAAAACAATGGTGTGCTTGGTTTCAACGTAACTTTATTCTTTCATGAGTTATTTACAAGTTTCTCTTTGTTCACAGCCATTGACATGTCGAAGAGGTTAACACGTGAGGAGCGGATCGAAATTGTGTTGATATCTGGTGAACGCAGTAACCGGGTCATTGCAGCAGATTTCAATGCAAGACACCCTACGAGACCACCCATCTCCCATGCTACAGTTAGCAAACTGCTTGCTAAGTTTCGTGAAACTGGTTCAGTGTTGGATTTGCCAAAATGTGGACGCAAGAAAACTGTCACTAATGAAGAAACATCAGTGGCTGTCCTAGCTTCATTCAGCAAGAGCCCACAGCGTAGCACTCGCCGCATGTCACTGGAGAGTGGCATTAGTCGAACATCCCTTCGGCGGATATTAGCTACTCACAAATGGCACCCTTACAAACTC